GCCTCCAGGGAAGTGGGAAGAATCGACCCCACAAGAAAGTGCAGCGGCCAGATGCTCTAACATTGAGTGTGGACATTTGTGGACCGTTTCGACCAGGGCATGATCGTTTGAAGAAGTCCAGGTATTTCATGGTGGGTGTCTTCTCCATTCCAGTCCGCAAGGTCGAGGGGAGAGTGGCTCCGTTACCGTTGAGTTTGGAAGAGACCAAGGGCGCTCCAGCAGAAGGCGAGGAACTGGCATTAGAGGAGCTAGTGCCGGCGTTGGAGGAGGTGGAACCAGAAGACCCGGACATCAAGGCGGAGGACATCAAGGAGATGGACGAATGGGAGAAGCTGGAGGTAGATGCGGAGGACATCGAGATCCAGAACTACACCATGGTGGAAACCCTGGAATCCAGGCAGGCAGCCGAGGTGAAGATGTGCTTGGCAAGGATGATAGCCAGACTCAAATATTTGGGTTTGGATGTGAGAAGGGTGCACAGTGATGCGGCAGGTGAGATGAGAGGAACCAAGAAATGGTGTCATGATCGTGGCCTTTACCGGACCTTTACCTGTGGTAGCGACTGGAAGGCGAACGGAAGAGCAGAGGCGGAGATCGGAGTGATCCGTCGATCCATCAACACCCTCATCCGGTCGTCTGGGGATGGTGAAGAGTACTGGCCGTTGATGGCAAAGCATGTTGGTGAGCGCCGTGGACGACAACAACTGGCTTCGTTGGGTTATGGCACGCCGCAACTCCTTCCATGGGGACAGCGAGTCATGATCACCACCAAAGGTTGGGATGATTTTCAAGGACATTGGAGAGCCAGAAAGAAGCCAGGAGTGGTGCGGGGACCAGACCCTGACATGAGTCTCACGAGTGGTGGTCACCTGGTGGAGGTTGAAGGTGGGAAGTACATCCGGACCGATGACATGGTCAAAGTGGGTGGCTTCGAGATGAAGGATGTGGTTGAGTTGGCGATTCGGGATCAGCCTGCTGATCTTCTGGACGGGACCGTGCAGCCAAGAAGACGACTCACGGAGAAGACATCCCTGGCCAGAATCGGAGGAAATGAGGTTCAGTGTCGCTTGATGAGGGGCCAGGCTTGGGCCAATGAAGAGTTCAAGAAGCTGGAATCCCAAGTGGCAGAGGAGCGAGACATTTCCGTGGTGGCTGACATGGACTCCGAGAACGCCCTAATGGAGAACTTCTTGACGGAGTCTGAAGCGGTGGTGAAGCGCTTGGAGGCAGAAGCCGTGACCTCGGCGTTGGATGAAGAAGAGACTTTCCTGCAGACGAGGACGGTTGGGCTCAATGAAGTGCGCAAGACACTACCTCTTTGGATACCTCCGTTGAAGGAGGAAATTGACAACTTCGACTCCAACCAGGCGATCCAGAGAGTTTCGGAGGAGGAAGCCCTTGCCTTGGTGCGTGAGGCGGAAGAAAAAGGTCAACGTGCAGAGATCATCCCAGGAATGGGTGTGTTCACAAGGAAGGCAGGGGATGGCAGAAGAAGAGCCCGAATCGTGTGCTGTGGCAACTATATGGAGTCGAGGTCTGGGGAGGAGGTATATGCCACCGGAGCCGATTCCACACAACTAAGCACTATGCTTCGGGTTGCTTCGCTTCAGAACTGGCATTGTTTGTCGCTGGACGTGAAATCGGCTTTTCTCCTAGCACCAAAGGCACAGGGAGAGTTGGTCATCGTCAAACCGCCAAGAATTCTTGTGGATGCTGCCCTGGCGAAATCAGATGAACATTGAGTCATCACATCTGCGATGTATGGCCTTGTCACCTCTCCAAAGGACTGGAGCGTCTACAGGGATGCAGAGCTTCAGAAGATGGAGGGCGAGATGTGTGGGCAGATGAAGGAAGGAACACCAGAGAAGAAGAAGTTTGGCTTCCGTCCGTTGAAGGATGCGAATCTGTGGGCAGTGCAAGAGTTTTCTTGGACCTCTTCGCCCTCTACCAGAGAGTGGGGAGCGGTGCTGGGCTACATGATCGTGTACGTTGATGACGTGCTCATGGTGGGACCAAAGGAGGTCACAGACTCTGCCTCGAGCACGATTCAAAGAGTGTGGAGGACATCAAACCCTGAGTATGCAGTTCCAGGGGGTGTTCCAATGAGGTTCCTTGGCATTGAAATCCAGCGCATGGTCGAGGGGGCGTACTATCTACACCAAGGAAGCTATGTGCGTGAAGTCCTGGAGAGACACACCGGTGGAGGAAGTACGCCATACATCAAGGTCCCTGAGGACAGAGATGAGGAGTCACCTTCTCTGGCAAAGGTCCGTCGTGCGCAGAAGATCACTGGCGAACTGTTGTGGCTGTCTGGCAAAACCAGGCCGGATATAGCTTGGGCAGTTATGAAGATGTCACAATGGGCAGTGAAGAGACCTACATGGACACTGGAATTGGGTGAGGCGGTGCTTGCCTATGTGAGGGCCACAATGGATCATGGTCTTCACTATCCAGTCCAAGTGCCGATTGACTCTGACCCCGACTTGGCTAGACTTCGACCAAGGGTAAGTGGCACTTTGGAGATCTTGGTTGACGCCTCTTTCAGTCCGGGTGACAGCCACAGCATTTCGGGTACAGTGATTTTGCTTGCCGGATGTCCAATCCAATGGGAGAGCCGAAAACAAAGTCTGATGGCACTTTCTACGGCTGAAGCTGAGTTGACAGCATTGGTGGAAGGTCTTCAGTCTGGACGGTCGGTGAGAGCCTTGGTAGATCTCTTTTTGGACAACGTGCAACTGGAGCTGTATAATGACAATCGAGCTGCAGTGGTGTTAGCGACTGGCGCAGGAGGGGGGTGGAGAACTAGACACCTTCGCATTAGAGCGAGTTGCCTGGCAGAAGCGGTGTCGAAGGCGGAGGTCACCCTGTCTCATCGTCCAGGAACGTCATTGTGGGCAGATGCGCTGACCAAGTCGCTTCCAGCGCAGTCACTGGAAAAGTTCTGCAGAGGAGTTTTTCTATACCATGGACATGGAGCCGGAGATGGGGAGAGAGCTGTCCTGACCGGTGGGGGTGAAGTCAAGTTGTCCAGGTGTATGGCTGTGTTGCTAGCGGGTGCGTCTATGCTGCCTAAGGCCGAGGCCAGCGAGGTTTGCGAGAAGGAGGGTGAAACACCAGAGCCATCACTCAACGCTTTCGGAGATGTGGGGTGGTTCTTGTTTTTGGCTGGTCTTGTATGCCTTCTACATCTGCTGAAGGATGTGGGCATTGGGGTGATCAAAAGAATGATGTCCAGCAGAGAAGAAGTCAGGGTGAAGTTGTTGAGTGAAGATGCCATTATCCCCAGTAAGGGTTCGGAACATGCAGCAGGCTGGGATCTTTCAACCTCAGTGGCTTTCCAAGTACCTCCTGGAGAACGACGGCTGGTGTCCACAGGTGTGGCTGTGGAAATCCCGAGAGGCTGTTATGGCCGCATTGCTTCCCGGAGTTCCTTGGCTTCCAGGGGGTTCGAGGTGGCAGGTGGAGTTGTGGATGCAGATTACAGAGGTGAGTTGAAGGTCATCATGGTCAACCACGGCTCTGCAGAGGGGTCCTTTGAGGTGGGGGACAGGGTGGCTCAGTTGATCATTGAGAGGATTTCTGAGGCGCCTATGGTGGTTACTGCAGCTCTCTCCAGCACGGGGCGGGGAACCGGTGGCTTTGGTAGCTCTGATGCAGCGATCCGCTCTGTCAGGGCTCAGGGAGAGTCACCTCATCCAGGAGAAGGTCTACTACCAGAAGGGGGGCTTCATGATCGGGGTCAACCTCGGCACGAAGGTCCGATGAGAGAAGGCAGGGGGTTTGTCCATGCCCCGGAAGGTCGAAGAGTGAACACATCGGTGGACCTCCCAGACACATTGTTCTTCGAAACGTTTACGTCCAGAGGAGGAGAGACAATGCAGGATTTTCTTGAGAGGTTATCAAGAAATGAGCTTCAGTTTGCATCCTGGTTGTTCGCCGAGACAGTGCTCCACATTGTCGCCAACATGCCGGTGAATGACAGACCTCAAGAGGTGATGGTGCATTTTCCTCGAGCGTTGGTGATCCTCAAGATCCATGGTCACTGCGCGTGGAGGAAGAAATTGTACGATAGTGATATGTCGGTGCCTCCTGCAGCTTCGGGCTTGAGCTCTGGTGTGATCACGATTGCCTGGCTTGAAGACGGGAGGAAGATGATCCGTTCTGACCTAAGGAAGGGCAGCCATTGCATGCACTACCTCCAGCAACGGTGGTGTGGCTATAGCATTTTGCTGAGGGTCACCGAGATTGGAGGAGGGTCGGCTGGCACAGGCTCCTACTAAGGTCAGTGCAAAGTTCTTAGAGTCTCATGGCACATCTTCAGGAAGCGTGTCGGGCTCATGGGAAGGCACGAAGCGTTTTGATGATGCTGGATTCAGAGGGTGAATGTGGCGTGGTGTGCAGAGTGCTTTTGTTTCCTTTAGAGGCCTGGTTCGCTAGTTCCTGAATGGAAAGAGTGAGAGAAGAAAGGGCTTGGGCTGAGACATAGAATGTCTTTTTGAATGTGAAATTTTTCGTGGTTGAAGTGCGACAAACTGCACGGAGTAAACCTTCAGGGGATTCCCATGATTCCTGAGCAAGTCAGGAAGGGGAGAGCAGAATCCCCGTTTCATGTGCTTGAGGCGTTTCGAGCTTTTCGTTTGTGCAGTGGTGAACGTTTGGACAATGGACAGCCCTTTTCTGTTCGAGAAAATAAGTGCGAGTTGGACCGCGCTTGAAGTGCTTATGACAGGGGCTGAGGGGACAATGATCCCTGCTGACCCCCTTTGTTGAAAAGTGTGTTCTTCGGTTCAGGGCCTGTATAATAAGCAACTTCGGCTTTAGAAAGCTCCTTCCGGGGATGCTTTCTTGGCATCCATTTCCGCAAGGAGAGGCCATTCTCTCAATCTGGTGTTAAAGTGATATCAGTGATATCAGGGTTTGGATGGCTACAGGTGCAGGTGACACAGCTTACAAAGGCTAATTGGATGCTAAGGATGCTCCTGTTTCGTTGTTGTACTCACGGACTTTGGCAGAATTGATTCCCTCGGGAAACCACTCTTCCAGGCAAATAGGATACAATGCTCCGTAATCGTCCATCGACTGCTCGCTCCATTTTCGAAAGGCCTTTGCCTTGGAAAAACTTCAAGTTCTCACAATGCGTGGGGATTTTCAGGTAGATGAGCAACAAAGACCACGCGCACAAAGGTGAAAAAACAAGGTTTCTTGGCACTTACCTCACATTTCACCTCTCCTCTACAACTGTCACTTAGGTTTGCACAACCCTTGCTACTTATCAGCATCCCACATTCCTGAGGAGCCAACACGGGCTGGATTGTATAGATATGCTTTAAGGCTTAGGGAAAATTCTTTTGACGGTGCACAGGTGCACAGGCCGAATGACTTCTCCACTTTCAATTGGTAGAAATGACACTCATATCACTCATATCCTCATATCCCTGCGTTCTGAAAGAAACTTGTAAGATCAAGCTGTTGGATCATCAAACGACTGTGCAAGCTGGATAGCCTCCAATCTTCCTTGCGCCGTGCGACCAATCACTCACTTCTTCGACGCCAAGCCACGGTGTTTGTAAAGTCAATGTACTTCTCAATACGGTGTTGTGAGCGACTGTCCGAGTAGTTGATGAAGGCAAAAATGTGTTCTGCCACGGCCTTCTCAACCATGGGTGTCTCACCATCAAATTCTGCACCAATTGGTCTGGTGGCTTTTCCCACCGCCTGCCTTGGTCGTCTGAGTCTCACCGGGTCTTACTAGGTCGGTCTGCTTGGCAAACCAAAAGCAATTGTCTGTTCTTGAGCTAGAGTATGCTTGCATGACAAGTGGAGTAATGAAAACACTTCAACTCAGATGCTGAACATCAGAGTTGAATGCCACGATGAAGGTCCGGTTCCCACCGCACATCTCCCACTTCACATCCAACATGGTTTGAGTAAGAGGTTGCAGAAAGAGGAGAAATGGCAGAGCGAGAGCTGCTGAGAGAAGCAGAAGAAAGATAATATTCCTCAGCAGCTGGTTGGAAGTCACTCTCTGCATTCACACGAATAGAGGTACACATACAGCATGAAAAGCTCATACATGTCAGGGACAGAATACTTTCTACGGGAGATGGTTCTAGATGACCTGCCTCGAACGTAAGCTTTACAAACACCATTGGCAATCCAACCAAGCTTCTCCAGCTTGTATTTGTTGCCGTTCTGCTTAATCTTGACAGGTGGAAGATTTTGGATCCGATACTGCACCTTTGTTGGTGTCAAAGCGGAAAACAGGAACTCGTCCACGTGAATGATGGCCTCCAGTGCAACAGTGGGTTGCAACACAGCAATCTGTGACCGCCTGGCTTGGTCTTCTTTTGGTAGAAACATGTCTGGAAACACAGAAGCCACATGTCACGTGACATGTAAACCGCATCTCACCTCGAGGGCCACAGCGTTCAACATGAGCTCAGAGATGGACGTGGTTCGCGACAGCCAAACACTACCGACATATAGAAGCCTGGTTCAAATGGGCAGCTGTGGGAGTACCCCATGGAACTCCTGATACCCCTCCAAGACAACAAAAGCCCTGAGAGTTTGCTAGCATTCCCCATGTCCCCATGTCTTAAATACTCAAGCAGAGACGGTGTTGTGAAATGATGTTGACACACCTACAAGCCATATTCAACGGTCTGATATAAATAAAGCAAACACCGCCCCAATCGTTGTCCAGGAAGCATGGTGGCCACAACCAAGCGAATCAAGCAGACCTCATTCTCATGGCTTGCCAAACGCACAATGCTCCACCACACAGTGTATTCGCTTCCAAAACAGAATAACTCCATATTATAACAATGTACCTTCCCAAAATGCAAAAGAAAAACTCATTGCGTGAAAATCATGTTCCAACACCACCTCTGGCGATTCCCTTGTCTTGCAGATGGTCACTATGGGTGTGAAACCGAAATTTGCGCCAAGTTTCTACTGAAAGAAGGAAGACTCGGCCTCGTGACATCGTTTGCAAGGCACCATCTCCAAACGTGGTACTGCGCAGACGCGGAGGAAGAGGCGGACAGGCCACACCGGACGACGGGAGCGTCTCTAGGAATGAGTTGACTGACTTTCGCACCGAGTGTCGACGAGAGCAAGGAAAAGAAAAGGGAAGTAGACAAGGACAACAAGGACAAGGTGGGAAAGCCAAGCAGAATGGCAGCTGCAGGCAGAGGAAAACAAAGCGTCTGCAGAGTCAAAAGAAGAAGACAAGTGGAGCAAGCAAAGACAGAGCCAAGGACAGGCAGAAAGAAGAAGAATTACACACGAAATAAACTTAGGAGCATGAAAATCGAAGGACGAAAACTGGGAAGGAGACTGACAACCACATGGCAGTGGCCAACAAGCAAAGAAGCAGTTACCCGTCAACAATAAGAGAAAATGACAAATTTGGCATGAACAGAGAGAGAGAGCAGAAAAATATGGAGAGAGGACAAAAACAGTGTCGATAGAAAATCATAAAGTCCACCGAATTTCTAGACAAAAGCATAGTATGCATGAGGCATCAACGACAATCTACGACATTGTTTCGCACTCGTCCAAGGCTTATCAGTCATCGGAAAAGGGGGGCAGGGCCAGGGACAGGTTCAGCCCGCTTTGCATCGCATCGCTTTTCTGCAGCTACAAGTACCATGTTTTCGCATCCCCCTTACAATTTAGGTAGATACCCGGGCATCACCATTCAATAGATAGACATAAATCGGCGACCCCCGGGTTCAAACTCTATAGGCTCACGGTCCCCAAGCTCAAAAAACGAAAAGCAGGAATATTAAGTCTCTATAGAATCAAGGTTCCGGTTGCCTGGGCCCTAGTTGAAAAAAACACGCCATAAATGTTCTATATAGAATCAGGGACCCCTGGTTTGCAACTCCGATGAAATCTCGATCAATTTTGCGACGACATCTCCGATGACATCTTTTGGAAAAGACACAAATTTCTCGGATGAACCTTGTTTACAGAAAGTGCGTTTGTTGGAGAAAACACTCGGAGAATATCGCGTTCATAAATTTCAACCCGATTGAATACGATCAAAACATTTTCCGCTGAGAAATGGTTTGGACCACTCATCGGAAAACACAATCGGAGAGTTGGCCCCTGGGAACTTAGGTGTATACGCGGGGAGGCCATTCTATAGAATAACCCCCGGGTTAAACTCTATAGAGTCAAGGTCTTCTGAACATATAGTGTGGCAGTCAATGTCCTTTTTTTCCTTTCTTTTCTTGAAATTATTTAGAGATGTTTTAGGAAGCGTTGGAAGATTATAAAAGGATTTTTGATGAAAATTAGGAGGGTAAGAATGTTTGAGGAAATTTGGGAAGGGTAAGGAGTTTTAGGGGTGAGGATGTGGGATGAGATCTTTGAAGGTGAGGTCTTGATTCTATAGTGGACAAATGTGGGTAAGTGCATACAAGCCACGTGTGGTCAAAAAGGACCCTTTCAAAGGCAGCTCTCGCCTTTTCTTGATGCGCAAAGGGCTTCAGTATGCCCATGGTTTCAACCACACGTTCAAGTGGCACCTAAGACACGTCAAAATGATATCTCCACATTGAATCTCTAGCGATCCCCCTTTTTGAAGTAAGCGTGAGCCTCAAAAACCATTCAGAGTCCTCTAGACCCGAACTTTCGGAGCTCTTCCAGCTCAAGCCCTTCATCTGCAGCGCTCACACGGGCGCAAGGTGCGCCCACCCGGTGCCGTCGGCGACCACGATCTCACCTGTGGTGTCCATGTCGTTCCTGCCCCAGCAAGCGGAACACTTCTGGATCTCCAAAACCATCTTGGAGTTCCGAATGGCCGAGCAGTCACGGCGCACATGAAACACCTGAGCTCCTTCCACTCGCCCACGCCATCGCATGCGAACCAAACCCAAATTGGTTGGCTGCACTTCCCGCTCTTCCTCGACCTCAACCTCCACCATCTCCTCACTGGCAGCCGCCGGAGGTCGCCTCACCGAGGTGGTGTGTATGGCGGGAGCTCTGAAGTACACCGTCTCGCCAGTCACCCTCTGCGTCGAGGCGCTACCATCGTCATGGTAGCTCGCATTCACCTCCTCCGGCTTAGCCTCTTTGGGGAACCAAAGCCACTGCCACGGTATAGGATCGCCCATGGGCCCCTCCCTCGAGCTGCTTCAAAGCCACCAAGTTCGTACCCAACCTGGTAGGCTTGCGCCTTTCGTGGCCCATTGGCCCCTGATCGAAACTGATCAGCATCATGCTGAAAGCTTCAGCAAAAGCCTCCCATTCCGGGAATGCCCAAAAGCTTGCACACTTCTTTTCATCCTCCTCGTCAGGAGCGTAGGTCCTGCGGACTTTGCCCCTTTTTTTTTGCCTTTTGGTCGCACTTTCCTCACCACATAGTAAGTCAATGACCTCAGGAACAACACCGTGTCGTCAGCCACCATGGACCTCAGCTGATTGGACAGGTTGTCTCGTCCGAACCTTGTGGCACCAAAGCGTGTTCGCAATGGCGGTGGTCCAGGCTGCGTGTGCCTGAGTCTTGACACCGTCCTGCATGGCGGTCCCGCCAAAAATCATCTTCACTTTTCCGGAGAGGCAGAGGCGCAGGATGTAAGCCGCCACATGCTTGGCCAACAGGTTCTCCGATTCCACGGCAGCAACTCCGGATCAAAATATTCGATCATCCGGCACCACTCGCTCCAGAAGCTCAGCCGGCACCTCCGGGAAAAGCTTGCGAAGCTTCGGCGACCACTCCACCGTGGTCTTTGACATAGATGCCATCCCAGGGCCTTCACCGCCCCGCAGCACAGCCAACCTGGCCTTTTGAAGCATCACCTGCTTCTCGATCTCCTTGATGAGCTGCAACCCCAGCTCCTCCTCCAAGATGCGTCCCTTCGAGTCCTGAAGCTCGAAGCTCCTCGACTCCCACTTGATGGCATAGCCCAACTCCGCCAAGCAACCAAGCGGCACGATCGGCTGCACAGGCTGCTGGGTCACAAGGGTCTTCGTCCAAAGGTTCTGCCTGAGCATAGCAGTCCCTGAAACAAGGGCCACTTCGACCTCAATGCCTGATTTCCATTCAGCCTCGTCAGCTGCTTGTCTCAAGCAGTGAGTCGCCTCACCGTCAAGAAGAGCTGGACGATCTCGCATTAAGGGCTGAGATCTTAACATCCTCACCCTTCACTTCCAGGGCTGAGACCTTCACATCAGACAAGATCCCACCGACCTCGCCCTTTCCTTCCAGCTTTCCAGGATCCTTAGCATCCTCCGCAGGCTTCTCTTCCACAACTGGCCCATCTGCTGACTTGGACTTGGTGGCCGACCGCACCTCAGGCTTATACCATCCAACTTCAACGGGCCCCCATCTTTCTCGACTGGCTTCACGGGGCAATCCTTCTTCATATGCTTGGATGACCCGCAGTTCCAGTACCTTCCCTTTTTCCCCACCACTCCATTGACACCTCCAGTCACACCGCCAGAGTTCAATCCAAGAGCTAAGGCCTTCATCCTTGGAGTCCCGTTTTTCTCCACACCGCTGTGCAATGCCGTCTCACCCTCCGCCAAAAATCCCCGTCCAGTGTCACCTCCAAGAGGCCACCCAAGGCAAGTGTGATGAGCGACGACGGAGCGTGCACTTGACCAACAGCAAAGGCAGAGAAGAAGCCAAAGCAAGGGAAATGTGGGCCACTTGCTCTCCGCCTCCGCCAGGTGCACCTCCACCCGACCCACCGTTGAACCGACTTGGTCCCCATAGTCACTAGGGCCTTGTCCATGGCTGATAGGCCCTTGACTTCGGCCATAACCGCCATCCGCGCCAGCACCACAATCTCCAGGCGCGGCACCATTTCCATTTTCATCACGCCACCTTTCTGGCGTACCAGGGACTTTTCCTCTGAACAGGCCTCCTAGCCAAGCCGACCTTTTTGTCCCCAGCAGGCATCCACC